TAGGTATCCTATTCACCCGCAGGTAGTAAAACGATATAGTATATTAGGTTTATAGTAGGATTTACGCATTTTAAAGGATTTACTATTAAGTAAACGACACTGGTTAACTAGTTGGCTAATAGGAAGGGAAATAATAAATTAGATAATAATAATAATAAAGGGAAAAGATAATTTATTAGAGTACGTTTATTGCGGTAAATGTTATAAATAATTATAATGAGGTTAGGATTATTCTTACTAATAAATACTAATACTAGCTTCTTCTTACTGTAATTAATATACTAGCGAATTTAATTCTACTCTTAATTGCCGGGAGGCGGCTTTTAACTAGGATTGAATTCTATCTTAAATAAATATTAAATTAATTAAGTAAATAAGTAAATAATGAAATATTTAAATTATTTAACAGGATAATTAATTAATTAGATAATAGATTAATTAAATAATTGAAAAACAAATTATTTAAATAATTAACTAATTGAAGGATTAATAGGAGTTATTAATCTTATTACTCTAGCCCCAATTATTCTTAGAGTTATTATTCTAATTTATATTAATAATTTATTTCCCAGAGTCTATAATAATATTTTTAAACCTGGAAGGGTAAGTAAATAAAATTAATTACTTCACCCTTCTAATTTCGCCCTAATAGCCTACGTACTGCTAATAAGGTACCCCGTAGGGTAATATAGGATGGTAGCAATATCGGATATCGATATTAGGTAGTAATAATATATAAGGGTATTGTATTAAGGAGATTAAGAAGGCGGGCAAATCTATATAAGCTAAATATTAATAAATAGTTAAATAAGTAGAAGAGGGAGGGGGACTCACTACTAGCTGGCTAAATAACCGATATATTTTGCCCCGGGCAATAAAAGATACCGAGACGCGTATTTATAGTAGTAATATTAACAGTAGAAAGGAGGAGGGGAGGGGGGAGAAGGGGAGATATAAGGAAGTAAACTAACCCGGTTTCAAACCGTTCGTATAGCGTTTGGTTTTGGTAGCGAATAACTACTTTAGGAAGTAACGTTATTAATAGGTAAATAGTTAAGCCCAAACTATTGTAGGATAGTATTAAAATTGAAGGATATTTAATATTAAGTATTAAGGTTGATTTTAAATATAAGGTATTGAGTATATTAAAGAGGAGAGAATTCGATAATCGAGAGAGGCGGGGGGAGCTAGCTTCTTATACCCTTCTAGGAGGGAATCAATAAGTACTAGAAATTTCCGTCGGTCTAATTAACGGTCGGGTTTATAGTAGGGTTAACAACGAGTAAATAGTATTGTAACTAATTTATTAATATTAAGAAATAGAAGGTAGTAGGATAATTTAGAATAGCGGTCGTTAGTAGTAGTATTATACCTTCTTTAGTAGGGCCCGTAAACGAGGAAATAGTAATACGTAATTAAATATACTTTACCGAAAATCGTATAAACGGCTGTGCAATCGTTTAAAGGTTTAATATTAATAAATATTAACAATTCTAAATAATTCCTAGTATTATACAATAGTTATAGCGATAAAAGTATATTAATATTAATAAAAGAGTATTATTAATTAAAAGTAGTAGATTTAGTAATAATATAAATAATAGTAGTACCGGTATACTAATTTGCCGGGAGTAGCAGAATTGCTAGGAGTAGTAAGCTTAGCGGGACTGAGTACTAGACGGTCGGGCTACCAGACAGCCGGGAACCCGCGCCACAATCGTATACAAAGTTATAAAACGGCTGCGCGACTATTTATTAAAATTTCATTTATAATACTACGCAACGCTACATTTCACGCTATATCTTAATAAAAATAATATAGGAGATATAATCAATTAAGCTCTATCGTACAATATTTTTTATAAATTAATATATACAATTAACGTAGAGATATAGCTGTCTGAGTATATTAAATATAGTACTATTTGTATATACTATCGAAACCGTATCCTGTTTGGCGCTAAGAGTTGCCTATTTAGGACTGCTAAGCCGTACTAAAACGGGTAATTTTCTACATTCTGGCCTATTATAGACAGAACCGCCGCGCCTTCCTCGCGACGATGTGGGGCCTATAGTACTACGACCTCTAGTGTGGGGTCTTCGACAGCCATAACACTTTTGGGCCCCGGACATCGCTCTCTCGTAAGGGCATAGGCGTTTTAATAACGCTATTAACCTCGGTAGTACTTGGGTAGTTCCGGAGTTCGGTTATAATTGGCCTAAATTTAGTGTCCGATTTATATTTATCCTTTAGGCTATATTTAATAGTAGGATCTATTTACGCTTCTACCTTTACAAATTAAATTTAGTCTAGTATTAGTATTTTATCCGACTTTCGATCCTTATTTCCTTTAACTAGTAAACGATTTAAAATATTTAGTACGAAGTTTAATTTACTTACAATATAGTAAATTTTTAGGTTGTATTGGGAGAGGTAAATAGAAGTATTAATTAATCTCTAATTACTTCGATTTATAGAGGAGGTATTAAGAATAGTCTATTTGTAGATACTCTTAGTAATTATATAGTCGGTAAGTATAATAATAGGGAAATTATAGGAGTAAATAAAAGTACAGAATTATTCAACTATTTAAATTAGGTATACTACCTCTATTTCCGAGGGGTTGTAGCGTATTTTAGCCTTATTAAGTATTTTATTAAAGAATATAATAAGAAGGATTTAATTCACTAGAATTGTAGCCTTTAATATTTATTAGTATCCTTCCTTCAAATAGTATAATATTACACTATATCCTCTCTTTAGGGATCCGTTAATTTATAGAAAGGTTTATTTAGCGGGATCTAGATAATATAGTTTTATATTATTATAAATAGTTTTTTGAACCTCTTTAAATACCTATTTCTTATTTTTTGTAGGTATGTAAGTAGTTTTAGCGTAGTAATTAGCTCGTTTAGCTGGATTTCCCGCTACTAATATTCCTAATTTTCAACCTTTAGTTGGAAGTATAACCTTCTTCTTTTATAGTAGTTCGATAAGTTTGGCGTAATATAAAATAAGGTGTTGGATGAATTTTAATAAGTTTATATATTTCTTTAGTGATTTTAAGGTGTTGGGAAATTTTAAATTTCGGAATGTAGCTATTCTTTCATTAATAGTTAATAGTTTGAGTATATTTACTTTAAAGTTAAATAATTCTATATTAAGGTAAATAATAAAAGACTTCTTCGGGGATAATATAATATTTCTTAATGCAAATAGGCCGAATATTTATTTAAGATACTCTAGGTGCTCTTTTACTATATTAGAGCAAATAATAATATTATTAATAAAGGCGCGATAAAACGTAGAGAAGGCTATTAATAATTAGTCTATAAACCTTTAGACGTAGGTTAGAGAATTTTAGTAATTTATTAGAGTAACGTTAGGCTATTTTAGTCCTTATAGGTTAATTAGTATGAACCGATTATGGTACTATAGTTAAACGCTAAATTAATAGAAGAAAACTGTTGTATTAATAATAGTAATAAAGTTTTTCCCTCTAAGAGACGTAATTACCTCGGACTAGAGGGGTAAGGGGTAATTATTAGAAATTATTACTTTATTGAATATTCGGAGGTCTATTATAATACGACCTTTTTACTACCCTTTAACGGTGCGTTAAATTATAGAGATTGGGTAGGCAAAAAGTATTGTTCGATTAACCCAATTTATTTTACCCTATTTATAGAGGGAGCCGAAAATTTGGTTTAAAATTTCACAATCTTTCCTACTTAGTGGGTAAGAGTGCGCTTTAATACGCTAATTTTACTAACCTTCTATTAAGGGTATATATATTATATCTTTTTCTTTTATTAAAATAATGCCTCCTTCTTCCTATAAAGTTAGATATTTATTAATAATTTCCCTAATTTTTTTTACTAAGCCGGAGTCTTAGGTATAAATGTGGATATTTCGGTCGGTTATTTTTTTAGGTAAATTGTTAAACGTTTTAAGGCCGAATGTTAAATGTTTTTTTATATTTACTTTTAGTAGTAATATAATTGTATAATTTGTGCCGTCTTCGAATTCGGTAACCGCGAACGCTACGTCCTCCTCCTTAAATTTTGTAGTAAATTCTACCAGAAATTCCTCGTTCAATATATTATTAATACAATTACATTTGTTTGGAGGGTTTTTAACGCTTGGTAGCGGGAGTTCGATTCTATACTATATATCTTCTATTATATTAAACGTTCTAATAATTGGGATTTTGAATTTATAATTGAACGAAGTCTTTAATTATATTATAATTACTAAATCGGCGATTATTCCTTCTAGAAGGGCTAAATATCTATCATTAGTAGCTTCAGTAATATTACCGACGTGAAACTTCTTTGGAATAATTAATACTCTATTAGTAGTATTATTTACAAATATTATTATAAGGAATTTAATATCTACTACTACATCGGTTATAGCAATATACTTCGAGTTTAATATAAAGTTCCTATCTTTAGAGAGGGGTTTATATTAGATTGGAATATATTTAGATTGGCTTAATAGAATCGTAGTCTTTTTAATGGTAGTAAGCTTTTAGAGGTATAGCTTAGAGTTGGCTTGGGTAATAAAATCGATTTAGAAATTATTAAGGTTTTAGAAAGTAATAGTTTTTAATTTATAATTTGTATTAGTACTGTATAAATATAATAAATCGTTATTAAATAGAATATTTAATTCTAATTTATTTATGAGACTCCCTCGGCACGCAGTGTCACTTTCCTACCTGCGCAGTGTACACTGCATATATAGGAGTCTCAGGTCAGCCATCCCTACATACGCAGTACCATAGTTATCCCTAACCCTAATAAAACCAAACTGGACACGTTGAACTTAGTGATTTGAGCGTACAGCCATCGCAAGAGTTGTAATGTGCGGCATTTTCTGCAATTAACAAGAACGTTAAAATTAGCAACTCTATTTAAACCCAATTACTCAACCACTATAATGCTACGAAAACCAGTCGTATTAAGACGATTCCAACGTCAGTATACTCCTCGCAATGTACTCTATTCATATATTAACGTTGTCTTTATATAGCATATCGACTACCATCGAAATCAGTAGCAATTCTAACTCCTACTATACCTCAAACTCGGATAAACTTACTCCTACATCTCCCGCTCCCGTTACTACTCCTCCGCTAACTTCTACTAGTATTCCCAATAAGGGTTCTAGCGAAAATTCTATTAACTTTAACTCTAAATCTAAATACGATATACCCAATCCAACAACTAAGGAAATCACACCCCAACTACTAGCGTTTACAAAGGAAGTACAAAAAGTACTTAATAATTGGGGGAAGGACTATAGCATAGCCTTTATACGCAGCCAAGTAGCAAATTATTGGCAAGGCAAGCCAACGTACTACCGGTTAATTTGTAACCGATATAACCAACCGAAGCGTTCTACTACTAAACTCAAGAAGACGAAGAATAGGAAGTATAGCTATTAATAAATAAGTATAGTAATTACTCTTAAAGAGAATAATTAAAAATAGATTTATCGACCTTCTACCGACTTAACCCACTAAACGCACAACTATTTACTATTAATATATATCTCTACCCATCCCTAATACCGCAAACGAACGGATAAAGTATTCAAAAGAGTTATTACCTTATCTCATCAACCCGGTATTAGGCCGAAGGATATTCTAACTATTATTAAAAGAGAGTTTAAAACTACTACATATATACTCAAGGACATTAATAATTAGCGCCAACTTCTTAAAAAGAAGCAGCGGTAGAATTCTCAAGATACAGCAACGCTTATCAAGCTCTTCGATAACTATAGAGTCCCTTACATTATTAAATAGGCTAAAAATAATCTAAACCGTCTATTCTATATTATATAGTCTCTTACCTACTCTCTCTTATAGTTGTAGAAGTTCCCTAAGTATTTGGGTATTAACAATACCTATAAAACTAACCGCTATAGCTATCTATTAACGGTTATTACTAGTATAATTAATACTAACTCTATTTACTCTACTACTTTTAATCTAATTAATAACAGGAGGGTTAATAGCTTTACCTAATTAATAGGTACGTTTAAGAAGCTACGTATCAAAGCTAGAGCATCTAAACCAAAGGTTATCATTACAGACTTTAACAACCAAATAAAGACAGCTATTACAATAGTATTCCCAAATATACAACAATAAATCTATATCTTTTATATCAACCGCAATATTCTTTTACAGGCAAAGAAGGAATAGAAGCGAACTAACGGTGAGGAGAACTCTAGCAGCGAGGACAAGCGAGAGTCCGTTCGTTTTAGCCAAAACAATAAGGCAATCTTATGAATAGCAAATTCATAGTTACAATCACAATCATAGAAGGCTAGTAGATATACTTATCGTAGTCTCTTTAAACTTTAGAAGACTATTATCTTTACTACTAATAAAACTATATTTGTACAGCAATAGCAGTAGTTGATCAACGACTTTGCTAATCAATAGAAGATATTATTATACTTATAGGAAATATATATACTATACCGGTATTAGTAGGTTCGCTATTATATATCCCAATATTACAATTTCGGTTTAATAGTTACTTCCCTTAACAAATTAATTAATTACCGTATTAAAGGGTATTTTGTAAGCAGTAAAAGTAATTTATTTATTCTCTATAATTCTATCTATACTATAATTAAGAGGGAACGTAACTAGTACGTTAATGAGATTACTAATTAGGATATCAAAATACGAAGCGAATTCACTGGACTAGGGATAGAGGTACTAAGAGACTTACCCCAGCGAATTACCTATCGCGGCCTTAGTCTCATTCGTAATCAATTACGTATTGCTCAATCCGCAATACCTTCAAATAAAAAGCCAGCACGAGATCTGGGGGAGTATAACTATACTATTCAAAAGTAATATAATATACCGTATTACTATAAGATTTTAATAAAGCTTATAATTAAAAGCTAGCTTAGCTGTTAGGATATTTACTACTACTATTATATCCGAATACTACTAGTACATATTATCTTCTTTACTTCTACTCTCTTTAATTACTAATATTTTAGTCTTAGAGTGAACGTAACCCTTATTTACATATCAAGGACCCTAAGATTACCGATAGGACAAGGGGACAGCCAAAGAATAGTATAGTAGAGCTACCGTACAACCAACAAGTCCCTAATACTACGAAAGGGAAAGGGAGGGGGAAGGGAAGAAAAAAGGGAGCAAAGAAGAGGGTAAAGAATAGTCAGATACTAAAACTATCGCTCCGCCGGCGGTAATCCTAATTTAAAACGGTTAATAAAGTTAGTACAGGTAATAAGAATTCTAATCAAACTTCTACTGTAGGCTCTACTATTAAGGTACACACACTAGGATTACCCTTATTATTAAATCCTTTTACTTCTAACAATAAGTTCAACCCTCAAGTCTAGGTTATTGCACCCTCAAGCGACCCGCTTACTTTATTAAGCTCTAACGAACAACCTCCCCGCAAGAAACGTACTATAAAACGTTCATTAGAACCTTAAACTATAACTAGAAGCGGTAGGACTATTAAACCCTTATGGAAGAAGTTGGAAGAGTAGATAATATATATATTAGATAGAGGTAGATAGATATACTAGAATAAATTAAAGGTAGCTGGACTTCCCCCTCAATACCAATAATTATCTAGATATACCTACTAATAGTAGAGGTAGAGAGAGCAGGGTTAAGGATAACTATGGCACTGCGTGTGTAGAGATAACGTATATAGACTCCTACATACGCAGTGTACACTGCGCAGGGAGGAAAATGACACTGCGTGCCGAGGGAGTCTCTTATTTATTACCTATACGCCCTTCGTAAATTTTATTAAAGTAGGGTTTCTGTCTTTATTATATCCTTCGAGGTAGATTTTGAAAGTAGCTTATTTTGAGATATTAATTGACCTTCCGCCTACCTTTTTTACTTTTGCCTATTGAGATTTAATGGTATATTCTAGTTTTTAGAGAAAATATTTGCCGATTAGGGTCTTGCCAGTGCCTGGATCTATATATACCTCTATTATATTATTATTAGGTAATAAGCTAGTATTAATATATATATAAGTATAATTGGAGATAGGGCTATTATTAATGTCCATTGTAGTAGTTATACGATTAGCCTTTTGAATTTTAATTAAGGCTATAGTTTTAATAGGATTAGGAGTGAGGCGGGGAATAAGAGTTAGTGCTTCTCCCTATAGTCGTCCTTCCTTAGCTAGCTAATATACTTTTAGGTATTGGAATAATACATTGCACGAAGTGTAGCGTTTCTTACAATAATTATACGTACGTTATTTAAATGTTAATAGAGATAGGGTTTTAAATTTTTCTACCTTAGAAATTGGAGGCGATTTATAACGGGCCTTATATTACTTCTTCTAATCCTTAGTTTTAAAATATTTTAAATATTTATAATGTTTAGTAGTAGAATCTAAAATTAAATATACTCCTACGTTATTAAATATTTTAAAGTTTGAATTATTTATAGAAATAGATTCTTTAACATAATAGGTTTTTTCGTACGCCTTTCGGTTGTGGTTTAAATTTCGGTTGCAATTGCAGGTTTGATTATGGCTTTAGTCGCGGCTTTTACGGTTGCGGTTATAATTCTATTTATAGTAGTAATTATATTCGTAACTTCGGTTGCGGTTTCGATTGTGGTTTTAATTTCGATCACAGTTCCGATTGCGATTTTGGTTACAGTTTTGGTTGTAATTTCAGTTTTGGTTGTATCCTAATTAGGATTTAAAATTTTGGGTAGCGTTGGAGTTAAATTAAGACTGGTTATTAAGATTGAATTTAGTGGTTGCAAGAAGTATAGCTCTAAATTTGGCAATGAGTTATATATAGTTAGCGAATAAGTCTTTGTTTGTAGGGGCTTTTAAAAATTGTTTAATACGAAGATCTATATTAGATTAAATTTGTATTATTACGTTATACTAATTTTTATTATCCTTAGTAAGCGTACTTATTACTTTAGTATAGTGTATCTATTCTTAAATAAATTAAATGAAGGCCCTTTTATTTTCAGCAATATCTCTTAAATAGAAACGCCCTCTTATGAATTTTGAAGTAGTTGTAATTGAATTGGGAGTAAATTGGTTAACGAATTAGTTAAGTAATTTGTATATAATTTTATCTTTCTACTTTATTTTAGTATTATTATTAATTTCTATAGTCTATTAGATTCGGGCTATGCCAGTTAGATAAGTATAAAATAGTTAGGTAAATTGTCTATTTATTTTACTATTAATTTAACACTAGTAAAAGTTCGAAATGAATAATAATACTTATTTGCGAAAGGTATAAATATTTATATATAAAGTGTACTTTCCGTCCGTTATAATACCTTAATCCTTAGGATTATTTCTATTGGAATTAAAGGCTCTAATATTTTTGCGCTTAACCTTTTTAAAGTCTTTATTATTATTATTATTAAAGTAATTATAAGTGCAACGCTAATTATTAAGGTTTTGATTTTTTCTTCCGCTTCTTCTTACTAGGGAATTATTACTACTACCTCCGCCTATTGTACAATATAGGTTACGACCTTTATTGTTGGGAGTATAAGGGTTATTACTTCTGTTATTTCCTTTAATAGACGGAGAATTTAGCGAACCTCCTCCTCCTCCTCCGGGACAAGGTAGGCTATTATTATTATCGCTTAATATTTACTTTGTAGGAATATTATTAGTAATAATAATAGGTTTAGTAGGGGAGCTAGTAAATAGAATATTAGGGTTAACGTTAAGTCTTCAAAATTAATATAATATCTAATTTTCATAGGGGCTAGTACTAAAGCTTCTTTAAGCTGAGCTATAGTTAATAGGTTAATAATTTGAGGGGGTACGGATTAAGTGCGGGTTATATTAATAGCTGCTCTTAGCTCTAGTGGCGTAGTGATTATTTTTAGTTTAATTATTTTATTAATACTTTAATTACCTTTAATAAAAGAGGCGTACTCTTAAAAAGGGTTGGTGGGAGATAATGTTTTTACGTAAGAAGTATATTCTAGAATATTCTCTATAGAATTATAAAAGGTTTATAGCTTATTTTTTATAGTTATTTTAACTAAATAATTGTATATTATAGTTTTAAAGGGCGTATTAAATATATTATTTGCCTTATTAGTAGATATTCTAATTAGTAGCTTAGATAATAGTTTAGTTGGCGCGGAAGAACCCTTATTATCCTTAGGCTAGATCCGAATAGGGTTTAGAAGGGTATAAGGATTATTAAATAATCCCTTTAATACCTCTTTGCGGATTTCCTTCGTTACTTCCGAGCGTACATCGTTAATTTATTTGGTAATATTTTCTATAATAATTTTAATTATTTCCTTTTACTAGTTGGCTAATTTTTTATTAGTATTATTTAATATAATTTCAAAATACTTTTTCTAAATATTAATTTATTTATTTAATACTATTTAGAAATTGTTACTAATATTGCGTC